CAATAGTAGAGTGCAATTGAATCTCCATATTGTAATATAGTAGCGATTAGATTGATATTAAATAAATGAGGAACAATTATGATTTTACTATTAAATCTATTAATATTTCTGTTTGCCGATTTCTTATAAGCTCCTATCAAATATTGGATCTTATCAGATATAGTGTAGGAGTGATTGACAAAAAGGTAATTAAGGTATCGATCATAATATATGGTAGAAGGATGAATTTCTTTTTATTCTTTGCTCTATCCTTATATTCTCGAGTTATAATAACAGAAGAATTGAAAAGAAATGCTCACTGTTCAAAAAAAGAAGTGTTCATAGTTAGAGAAGTGACCAGTAGTAAACTTCTATTTGATACGAATTACTGAAAAATAAATCTACACTGTAATATTATCATGACAAAAATGATTATTAGAAAGAATATAGAAGAACAACTAGCTCACCATGAAGTTATTAATGTCGTAATCGTCGCATTTGTTATTAAACTCAATGTGTTTTCCAGTTCGATCATCTTAAAACTGAATATTTACATTTTTTAAATGAGAATAATTAAAGTATTTTATTTTAAAAATCTCCAAATATAAAGTAAAATGTCAAATAAAAAGAATTTGTTTCTCTCGAAATGTTTAAATATTTATTTAAGAAATAAGATAAAATTAAAATAATCAAATTCTTCTTTATCTTATTTTCTATTAATATCAATTTGAAATGAAATGTTTTCTTTATCAGAATAAACTTAACTCTATTCTTCGTTGCTCAAATATCACACTATAAATATTTCATTCTTTATAGTTGTTAATCGAAATCTCAAGATAAGATTAGAATACGGTTCGATACGTAAAAGTCGTTTTATTTCGATATTTAAAAATATTCTAAGAGACACGTTTTTTTCCACGTGGTTGCGTTTTGTTATTTTGTTCGTAACGAGAAAAAAATATTTCTAACGCTTACAAGTATCATTTTTTTCTTGTTCTGTCAAACAACCATCTATAAGGCCACTCTTCCTTACGTTTATTCTTTAATATCGTCGTTGATCGCTCTTAATAAAAATGACTTGTGGTTAAGAGAACCAAGACGAATAGATAAGTCATGTAAAGAAAAGAGAAAAATAATTCTTTTTTTTATCGATTTTATTTATGGAAGAAAAATCAACTCAATTTTTAAATACAGCGAAAATCTTTATTTACTTATTTATTTTTCAATATAGAATTAATTATCTTAGATTTTTTAACTATTTGCATTTCTAATGACTTGTCCAGCGACATCGCCCTTCTTTATGATCAAACTCATCTGAAATTCAGCGATCTATTACAAATGGTCTGTAATCTTATAATTTCATTTAAAATTTCTTTAACTTCGAGAAAGAGAAAAGAATAAGTGTGAGTTGTTTATTGAGTTAAAACTGATTTAATAAATGATACAGCAAAGAAATCTTCGCCTTATATTCTAATAACTGTTAAATGATCATCAAAATAAAAAGAGATAATGATGCTTATTTATTTCAAATTTTTATTTTAAACGCTACCAACTTACATTTGTTCATCTAACTTCTATGATAAAAAACGAAGAGTATAAGTAAACATAAATGTAAATATAATGGATTTGAAAGGATCTATTCTAGTATCAGATCCATCTTTTTCGTTTCATGCGTATCATTTGTAGAATTTCTTTTTCTCTTTCGAAATGAAATCAATATTGATTTTATCTGCTCACATAGGTCCACCTTTTCATATTGTATAGAAATCAAAGACAACGAAATGATTATTTATTTTTAATATATACTTGAAGAAAATAATTCGAATTAATTATTTGTTCATAGATTATATCTACAGTCAATCCTTCAGTTCCTGTTCTGTCAAATAAAAAATAACCTCGACATAAAATGATACAAGTCATAAAAGACAATGAAAAAGTTATTCGAGTTTTCACTTAAATAAAATACATAGAAAAAACCATTAGTGTTACACGAAATATTACGCAAGATTTTTTTAAATTTCTAATTCTCTTAAAATATTACATATTGAACTGAAACATTATTCATTCTATTTAACTATTGCTCATATTATCACCATTACAAAATAAATCCTATAAAAATCTCCAACGAGTTTCATAGTGACATTCTTATGTCATGACAACGTGCTCAATCATTGATTTTAGTAATCATTTATGAACTACAAACTAATTATTTAAGAATTTATAAATTGAAAAGTGAAATATAATTACAGATATTTAAAACAAAACAAAGATTAGTTGTTGTCATGTATATGACTACTATGGTATGAATGATATTAGATAATTTCAAAAATGATCATACTATAAGTCTCGTCATCACAATCGTTCGTTTTAAAACGATTTTTTGCGACAAGGCGTAGTTTATTTTAGATAATTCTATACTAATCTATAACTTTGCTTCTCACTTATGTTTTTTTCATTCCTTTTTCAAGATTTTTAATTAATGAGCGATGATAAATAAGCATAGAAGTCTTCCAGAAATAAACAAATACAAATCATCGTTTTCAAAGAATTTTTTTCCTCCCTATATTAAATTGCATATAGAATTATTATTTATCTATTTAGTTACATAATTTCTATGTAGAAATTAATATGAATATTCAATTCTATAATAAAAACATTGATCAATTAATTAAACTAGTAATAAGACCTTCAAAATTTAACAGTAAAATAAAAGTTCACGTGTAAATAATCTCATAGTTTACCGCTAAAAATGAAGAAGAAAATCATTGACGATTAACTACTGATTTTGAGTACATGGAATAGCTTTCTTATAACTAATGTCAATTGCAATCGACGAAGAAATTTCTTCTTACACAAACAAGATTAAAGATTAAAGAGCTGGTGAAAAAATTCCACATTAGGTGTGTTGTGTACTAATCAATATAGTTTAGTCTTAAATTTTTAATATGGATTCTTAAAAATATATCTCATATGTTAGATAATTCAAGAGTAATAATCAGAAAAAATGAAACATATTTTCCCTAAATATAATATTGTACAATATATTAACAATAAAATGAAAAGTTTTTCATAAAACAATATAAGAATTTTTCAATTTATTCGTATATTGATTTAGAAAGAGATTTTTAATTAGGAATTGTTACATAAAAATATTTTCTTATTGTAAAATATCTATTTAGTTCATTTAAATTTCTTAGTATTATTATTTTATGTTGAAAGAAAAGAACATAAATTGATTCTTTTTCATCAAAATCTTACTAAGAAAGTATGTAAATCTTTAAAAATCAATAAAAAAAAAAGAATTTTCGCTTGAAAACAATCGATTATACCGAATTTTTATATCAAACCCAAGCAGGTTGGCAATGTCGGTTTGAATTTAAGTTTAGATCCAGTAGTAAGATTAACGAAGTGTTTTTATTTCTAGCTTATATCTATATTCTTTTAGTTTACCTCTTTCTTACACTAGTTGATCACATGTGACTATAACACAAAGAAATATCAGTCAGTGCTATTAGAATCGAGAGTGGGTGTGGGTATGAATGTAAAAGAAGAAGAAGAGACATACATCCGCACCCATTTTCAAGATTTTGTTATGTTTCAAAGTAACATAGTAGAGCTTTCGATCTATAATTAAAGTTATTATTAAGGCAAAACTATGAAAAAAGGTGAAAAACATCAACGAACATCTTTTTTTTCTCTTTTCTTTCGAGTAGACCTATGAATGAATATTACGATGCGATCGAAATACGTTCTCGTACATTACAATGATTATCAATAGTCGAAACAGAACGAAAAGAAAAGAAAAGAAAAGAAAAGAAAAGAAAAAAAAAGAATAGAAAGGAAAAGAAAATATAAAATATGATTACCTTTTAATGAACTATTCGATTGGTTTTTGTTAATATTCGGTGGTTGATCAGATGAAGTTGTACGAATAGCTGTTGTACCCATTACTTGACCACTATTACATCTTAATCATGCTTATATTACTTGAGATGGTTCATAGCTAACTGTTGGTTCGACAGCACGTAATTTACGTTGAACAAATAGATCAAATGTTTCTTTAAGTATAATATGAATAAGAGATGATATATGATCAACAAAATCCAGTGAAATCAGTCTACCATATCTGATGGTAATAATTTTTTTTCTCTATCTTGTTCAATCCATGATAATTCAGAAAGAAAACGAGATTGTGGTACATAAATATGAAATGGTCTTTGATCAGCATCTGGTTTAGGAATAATAGATATTTGTTCTAATTTAGATTTCTCTTTTTCATCATCATTTTGTAATATCCCATAATGCCATGTTAAATGTTAAACTTGATTTTGATTTGTACCATTAAGACGAAGAACAACTTGAATTAATCATATATTCTATCAAAGTATGAAGAAATACTGATTGATTATTATTATTATTTAATGATGTTTGAAGATTAATAAATTTTAATCGATGTCATTCATATTCAATTATTAAACTTCGTTCAAGACCAATAAATGGTGATGCAATTATATTAAGATTCGAATCATTATTAAATTGAGCATTATTTATAAGAACATATACAAATAGATAAAAATGTGGCGATGATTTTTGAATTGTTTGAAAAATTCATGATAATGTTCCACATATAAGTTCTTCATTTTGTTTAAATGCTAAATCATTATTATTTTCATTCGATGATATTTGATCAATTGGCCATACAAATATAATTGGATATTTGTTCCCAAGTTGTTAATAAAACTGATATTGAAGAACAAATAATATTCAATGTTAAATTTTGAATACGAATTATTTTTATTATTTTGATCATCTTTAGTAAATATTAACTATGTTTGATTTATTCTTTCATCATGTCTTTGTAGCATTTCGTGAGATATTGTTTTTTGACAAATAATAAATGTACTTTCATTTTGATTTAATGTTGATTCAATAAAATTAAATCCTTCAATTTGTTCTAATAATGCTGTCCGCTGTTGAATATTATTTAATACACGATTATTTTTATCAACATTAGCAGATGATCACCATTGATCAATAAATCCAACAATAAGATGAAAATAATGAGAAATATGAACTAATTCAAGTAAACGACGAAGATCGATTAAAGAATTTATTAAATCTTGATTTTCTTGAAGTTGATTGGAAGAAAATATAATATCAAATGTTTTACTATCATATAAATCAATTGTTTCATCATAAATAATAGATAAATTTCTTTGATTAATTATATATATATTGAATGTTTGTTGAGCATTTGCAAATTGTATTGGATCAGAATCTGCATAATATAAATCAATCAATAAAAAGTTCAAGAATAGGTAAAATATCTGAACAATCACTATTAGTTAACAAAAATATACGTCATCGATAATTTTCAAATAAATTATCGTTGGTTTGCTCATATAGTAATTGTAAATGTTGACAAATAGAATGAAAAATTTGTTGTGTTTTAGTTGCACTTAGAAGAGTTTTAATTTGTTGAAAAGTTTTTCTAACTTCATCATCACCAACAAATCTATCTAAACCATTTTTTTCTCCATTAAGAATATCTTTTAAATGTAAACCATATTTATTTAATATGATTAAAAATGGTTCTAAACGAGGAAAACGTTCAATTAATTGAATAAGACGAAGATGTGTTGAATGCCATGTTACTCTGTCATGTAAAGTTGAAGCAAGAGAATGACATGCATTTAATGATGGATGATGTTGTTGATTTAAATCAAGATCTTTAATTGCCATTTGAGCATAATAAGTAGCTAATTCATTAAATGGTTCTATTGATTCAATTAAGTCTTGATTACTAATAGAATTAAGTTGATGATTATTAAGAATAGTTTTAAGTGATAGAATTAAATGTGATATTTCTTTTATTATTGGTGAATCAGTTCACACTTTTTTCATACAATAATCTTTTACAATTATATTTAAATATAGTTTATGATCTTTATTAGATAAATCAGTTGTTAGATTTAATTAATCATAAATTGTTTTTTCTTGTGACCATTGACCAGATTGTACACCTTGAACTTGTTGAATAATAATACTTTCAAATGTAAATATTGGTTCTTCTATTTTATTATCCACTGGAAATATCCATAAATCAAGACTATATGTTCCTTCTTGATCAATACCACATATATTATCATGATAATTTCCGCGTACTTCAACATTTGTTGATTGATTCATTTTTGTTTTTATTTTATTTGAATAAATAAATTTTTGAATACGTACAGAAAGAAATGTTGTTTCAATACCTGGTAATACAACTAGATATGGATGAAGTAAATAAGAAGATGAACAATTATTATTATCATTTCATAATTGAGATATAACTGTAGTTGAAGTACCATGTAATGTTTTGATTTTTTGAAAACTAGATCCATATTGATAAGCACTTGTTATATCTTGTGTTGTCCATGCATTAGGTATTGTTAATGATTTTTATTCTTTAAAATGTATTTCAGTTTTACCTTGAACATGTAAAGTAAATTGATTTAATGAATATTTATTAAAATTATCTTGATTACGGAATGAATCAATAACATCAGTACAACTCATACAATCTGGACCAGCTGCTGACCATGATCGACTATAAATATATCATTCACGCATTGGCATAATTATTTGTGTAAATACTTCAACTAATTCATGTTCATTCAGAATAAGTACTTTAACAAATTTAACATCTTCAAAAATAATTCTTGGTTGTCGTTGATCATCTTCTTTTGGAAAAAGTAATTGTTGAGAAGCAGCTGTTGCAAGTTCAAGATAAGCAACTGCTGGAAAAAGAATTGCATTTTGAATTTTATGATCTTTTAAGAAAGAATGTTGTGGTAAATTAATATTAATAAGACTTTTCCATGTTGCATTCGTTTGATCATTGAATTGACGAATACCAAGTAATGGATGAGTAGATATACGGTTAGCTAGACGTTGTATAGATGGATCTTTTGATTCATACCAACATGGACTCAAATGAAATTTATATAATGGAAAATTATCAAAAGATTCTTCATGACTTTTCAACGGTAAAATTTGACGAGTATGAAAATATTGTTGGCATACTTGAGATGATGTTGTAAGTTGTGCTAAACTAGTAAGTAATGTTATTTGTTTATTTTATTTTATTTTTAATGTTAGAAGAATAAGTGGTGATGATTGTTGTTGCATCACAGTTATAATAATGATATTGATGATGATTCTATAATATTATTTGTATTATTTAGAGTTGAATTTAAACTGTTTTGACTTGCACTTGTTAACGATAAATGTTGATTAGATGATAAATAATCATCACTTCCTGGTGTTTGTGATGATGGTGATGAAACAATATTTATATTATTTAATAGTAATGATGATGATAAACGTTAATGTTCATTTCATTCAATAATTAATTTATATTTTAAATTTCTTAATGAATTAGCACGTAATAATGAATATAAATCTGTATGTACACTACGTCGTAATGGATAAATCATTTATATTTTGATGTTGTTCATAAGATTCTTTTTGGTGTCCGCAAAAATCAAATAGATAGAAAATTTTTTCATCATCTAATTCATCGTGAAATCGATTAATATGTTCATAATTAGTCCAATTATATTTATGTTCAAATATAAAATGTGAATGTAAAACATGTAAATCAGGATGAAATAATGAATGACCAAATGATGATTGTTCACTAAGACGAAATGAACTTTTAAAAAATTGTTCACCTTGTGCAAGTGTATAATAATTTGTTGAGCCACCAAGACATGCATATGATAATATATTAGAATTTGTTGCTAAACCAACATAAGATGGATAGTTTAGATTTGTTGATATCGTTGGAATATTTAATATTTGTTGAGATTTAGGAATATAAAGAAAATGAAGTCGTTGTGAATGTTGACCATGTCAACGAAGAAATTCTGATTATTTATTAATTGTGGCAGGTGTTGGCGAATGATATTTAAATTTTGCATTAATACGTAATTCAGGAACACTTATTGAACCAGCTTCTAACCATGAACCAGGATAAAGACGTAATAATTGTCGAATTTGTATTGTACCAACTTTTAAAGTTAAACTTTCATTATATAATGATGTATGCATATTACACATACATAAACGAATAGGTGCTATCTAGAACAAGAAAATTATGAAAAATGAAGAAATAAATAGAATATTTCTTACTTGAATATTAACAGCATTTCCAACTTCAATGAGATTAAGATCAGTTGAATCTAAACTAATTCCAAGTATATCATATTTAAGTTTTCATTTCATTTTGCTTTACCAATAAACTTAATAAACTTTCGCTGTATTCGTATTTTTCAGATATTAAAATCATTATATTATTACTATTAGTATTGAATAAAACACAATTCTTCAATTTGCACCAGTAGATGGTGAGTTTATTTCAGCTATTGACCATGGGAATTAGTCAAAACGTTGAGGTTGTACTCATTCACCTCAACAACAATATTTGTCACTATAAAATTAAAACTTCGTTTTATTTGTATTTTCGTCGTATTAAATCCATCATACTATTATCATTATTGAACATCAGACATAGTTCTTCAAATTCTAATATAAGATGGTGAATTTACTTCAGTTCTTGACAATGATTCATTGTCAATGAAAATTAGTCGAAACGTCGGTATTGTATTCATTATGTATCAGCAATAATAAGTTCCATTGTAAAATTGGAATTTTAGTTTATTTGTATTTTTATTGTGTTAAATTCATTTTTTTTGTATTATTATTGAACGAAATACATAATTCTTTAATGTCCAGTAACAGATGGTGAACTTACTTCAGTGAATAACTATGGAAATCAAGCGAAACGTGTAGATTGTACTCATTTGCACCAATTACAATAATTTTTACTTCAAAATAAAAAAAATGAGTCGGTTTGCGAAATAATTTTAATACAAGCTTTATCTGTTCTATACAATAGAGTGCATATATGTGTGCGTTTACATTACAATTACTTACTATTGATGAGGTGATGTTATAATCCGACATTGGTTTCATTAACGAAACTCGAAAGAATAAAAAAAAATGTGTATCGGCGAGATAAAAATAATCGAAGTTTTGTCTATTCTATAGAATAGAGTGCATATATATTTGCCTTCATCGTATAATTACTTATTATTGTTGACGAGTTATTATAATACGGCATTCGTTTCATTAACGAAACTCATAACAACAACAGAAAAAGGGTGTGGGTGTGGGTATGAGAATTCTCGATTAACTAAGAAATTAAACTATTATTCGAACAAAGATTTTGATAATCTCAAAATAACTCCAATTTTGCTTTTTTATATGATTATCAATATTATTGTTTTATTTAGTATTAAATATATTAGACGATTAGAACTGTAATAAATTTCAATGATCAGAGAAAAAAACTTATCTTGTTTAAGTATGTTGATATATTCATATTTATGAAATATACTTTAATGAAAATACTCATTAAACGATCAATAGAATATGTTAAATAACTCTAAAAATATCTAAACTTGTTTATAATATTAATTATTTTAACTGAATTAATAATCTTAGTTCTCTGAAAAATATAAAATTTAAAAAATTTCGATTAAGAGATAAAATACTTGTTTTTATTCTTTTTCGAAATTTTTTCATTATAAATATATATATAATTATTTAGATTTGATTAAAGTCATTTTTTCTCTTAAATATGTTGATTCTTTTGCTTTTTCTTATTTTATCCATTCGTATTTTGACTCTCTACGCACATTTCATACAAACAATAAATGTGAGAATATATTTTATCATATCAATAAATGAATTTATTACTTTACATATGATCGAACGAACCTCCAACATACGAATGATTTATTTTAGTTATATTTCTTTTTCTGTTCTATATTACCTTTAAAGCAAAGCAAAAAAAAATACATGCTCACTCAACCATTTATCGTCTATTAAACCTATATGAATACACAATAAACGTACGAATTTTTAATACTATTTGTAATTAAATGAAATAAATGATAGAGAATCATTGTTGAAAAAACTTCTCAATTATCCTATGATGCTGATAATGATCAAGATATATTAAAAGTCCTTTCTGCTTGAAAATTTCTTCATCATTAACCGTTGAAGAGTGAGTCATTGTTTTTTAGATGTTTCATAATGATCTATGTGTCTAAACAATTATTTACAAAGTAACGTAAATTAGATTTTGTGAGTTCCGATAAATAAAAACTGATACATGAAGATATTTCATCTAAATATAATATAATAAAAGTGGAATATATTTATCAAAACACAATGTTAATTATGATTTAATTATTAGAATGATTATTTTTATCAATTTTTGTAGTTAAAAATAAAGAATTAATTTGAACAAAAAGCAAGCAATAGTGTAGTTTTATAGTTAATAGCATTAATAATCATGAAATAAAAAACAGAATTGTACGTATTTATCAATCACTATGTTGGAAAATGCAACTGTGATATACTTAAATGATTTTTTGTACACTGATACAATATATATTAAAGATGATATACAACTTAATAAATGCATGATATATGAATTTTCTCATAAAACTACTTATTTCCTTGTTTTGTTATATTTCAGTCATACTAGATTTCGATTCTTTTCTTCAACTTAATTTTTCGTTTTCAACTACAAAAGTTGATAATCAAATCATAATTAATAATACCTTTTGATAAATATATTTCACTTTTATTATAGTATAATTAGAAGAAGTATCTTCATATATGAGAGTTTTTATTTATCAAACCTCACAGGATTAATTTAATTCATTTTTCTCTATATTTAAAACAAATGAAAATATTTAACAATCAGTGATTTTGTGTCTATTTTTCTCAACATAGAGATAACTGATGATCTATTATCTGATTTTTACATTTCTCAATCCGTTATAACTATTGATTGATGATTTAATATTTGTCCATAATGCTACTTATGATGAGTTCAATATTATATTCCATTTAAAGAAATGCACTTAACATCTATCTTGAATTATTTTTTCGAATAAATGAATAGATAAAGCTACCAACTACTTACGAGTTTTTTTCTTTATCTCTCATCTATTTGAAGCTACTGTCATTTCTCATTGAGATTTAATTATTGCACTTTAAATATGATAAAAACTTAGAACATATTTATTTATTTTTATTTAGTCAACGAGACAATTGATAGTTTCATATTGAATAAATTCATTAATTTTTTTGTAAAAAGAATATTTTTGTTATAGGTACATAGAAAATAATGTCTCATATGATAATCTACGATAAATTGACACATTGACAGTGTAGAATGTGAGTGTTACACGAAAGATACATTTTTACAAATTATTTGCATGATTATCTTAATGGCATCAAATAATCTTCTTTTTCTATAATAATTAATAAAAACTTACTTATTGAAAAATACAAAAATATAAAATCTTCTGACTCAAAATTCATCTTTAATATTAATGCAATTGAAATATGATGTATATATTTCAAAATAATATTTTATTTAAGTATGTCTTTGAATGAAACTGATTTTTATTTATTAAATATAATATAGATAATTGTATAAGGATTTATCATTTGAATGTTATTTTAAAATAGTTTAATCAATATTTGTATACGTGTTAAACATAAATAGATTTTTAAATATATTAAGAATAGAATGTATAAGAATATGCTTGATCATGTTAGATTACTATATTAGAAAAAAATTAGGATGACTATATAGATATTGATTGAAATAATTATCAATATATAAGTAACGAGAAGATAATTTAAGAAATAAAATAAATCAATAACATGTGTTATTGGACAGAATGATAGAAATGACATATATTCTTTAGATATAATATGAAAAAACTGAAAGTTTCTTTATGTGTATATTAACTAATACAATAATGTGCATTGTTGTACTATTGAAAGCATCAATTATGGTATAATACAGATTATAAAATGCAGAACTATAAGTGGTATCACTACGACACATAATA